GGAGTGAATTGCAATAGATGCACAGAAACACAAGGCCAGCAACTGAAGTAATTCTCACCTTCTCTCTGTTTGTGCTGAGCAGCTAGAGCAATGTTGTACGTGTGATCTATCACTCTGAAAATTTGTTGCTGTGCTCCTTCTGCTTAGTCTGCTTTATGGCTTCATCAAGCTGAAAGCCTTTTGAAGTCTGTGGGTCATTTTCTTTTCTTCATATTGTATGTTGTTTCTAAATGAATTAGCTTGTAAGCTAATCTGTCACAGATTTAATTATGGTACACAATCATGAGGGAGTTGCTTTTTCCTGATACTGAGCAAGGAACTTCATTGAATAAGGCAAGCATTTGTGTACTTAATTCTAGTTTGGTCTCTCTGTTTCACCGTAAAGCTACTCCAATCTTTTCTTGCTAAAAGATTAAAGAAAATGGTATCTGGATAAAAAGGATATTTGTGTGTGTCTTCCTTGACCATAAGAGTATGGAGCACCCTGAAAATGGCAGAAATGGGGTTTTCCATACTTTGCAGGAGAGGAATTGTATTCAAGTGTCTTGGATTTCTCCTTTGTACTATCCTCACCACCACCTTAAGTCAAGAAGAGAGACTCGTTATAACTTTTTAACCTCATCTTCCTGTACTACTTTCTTCCCAAAGTCTTAGCGCTCGGAAATGAGCCTCTTGATGTTGATACTGCTGCTCTGCTCACAGACTTGTTGAGACACATTCATCTGTGCCCAGCAGCACTTGCTGCTATTTTTCTAAGCCCTATTTTCTTTGCTTGATTCCAAGGCTGTTTTGTTATATTTTCTGTGATTAAAGGTTTTGGATTACTCCTTCTCTCACTTTGCTAACAGTGTACCTGCAGCTACATTTCTTCCCTCTGTAGCTTGCTCTGTAATATCCTTTAGGTAGGGATGACTTGGGATACTAGTAAATATCACAGTATTTTCCTTGCTGTAGGCTCAGGGTTTGCCAGACCTTTGCATGGATGTTACCTGGATAATATTCTGTGTAGGCATTAGGAGTAGGTGAGAGAGGCTTGGTCAAAGTTGTGCCACTTTTTTCCCCCATCATGTGGAAGGTGCTTTCTCTAGCTATAGGCAAGTGTTTTCTCTGCAAACATTAAATGGTCCCATGACCTGGTTTGGTTTAGACTATTTGTTGAATCGTGTTACCGATCTCTGAGGTGGTCAGCTACGTCCTACTATCTTGCTGGGAGGGGGTGCTCAAGAGTTTAAAGCCAGGAATCAGTACTAGCTTTGCTTCTGGTAAACATGATGGCAACTTTATGTACCTGAACGTCCAGGTGCAGGATTTCCAAGGGCATTAAGCCACAAGCTAGTCCTTCCTAGTCCTTCCTCCTCTTCTTTCTACCTCACTCATGCTCTTTTTTTTCCCATCTTAAAAAAACAAAGTAGCATAAGTGGTCTATGCCACAGGAATATGTTTGTCACACTACATCACTTTGAACTGCATAACATCAAAGAAAATCAGTGCTTTGATAACTTGATTTGAAAGGATTGTAGAAATAGCCATCATTATGAATCACAACAGATGGGAATGGAAAAGATGGTGATTTTCAGACAGCAAAGCTTGTAAGGTAAGGGAAAATATAAAGTAGGTGCCAGTGCCACATTCTCATCTGAAATACCCCAACCTTACAACTGTTGTGTAGCTCTGTAGAACATGATTTACTCGAGGATATGAAGAGGAATGAGAAATACTCTGTAAATATGTGTTTCTGAGGAACAAGGAAACTAATGTGGGCTCAGAGAAGAGCTGGAATAAGGGAGAAATCAATGCACACTTCTTGGGTAGGAACTTCTGCTTTCTCCTCTTCATAAAACCACCCTTCCTGAAAGGAAGGGCATCCAAGATTGCTTGCTGAGACCCTCTTCACTCTGGAGACCTTCAGTTCTTATGGGCTGGACATAGTGAGGAGGGGGGAAGCCCCCCCAGCACTTCTGTGCTTTGGCATTTCTCTCCCAAGTAAACTCCATGGACTGGAACGAGTTTCTGGCTCTAGGAGGCTGCAAGAAATTAGGCCTCAAAATCATCACTTCTCAATTGCAAATATTTTAGTTTAAGATGATGGCTATTCAAATCAGAGTTTATGTTATTTTTGCCTTCAGTCTATCAGATAGGAGTGAGGGCATTAAGACAGACTGTCAACTACAAAATATCACACTAGCCTGTGCAGTGGACAGTGCACAGTAGCAGTCAGGTGAAATCAGTGTGTGCTGTCCCATCCTCATTTCAACATGAGTAAATGTTGGCTAGTGGGGCTAGTTTACAAAGATTTCAGTGACACTGTGTTAGGACACTTCAGTCTCATTCAGACATGGCTTTACTACTAATACTTCATCAACTGGTCCAGACACATTGATCTAGAAAAATACTGCATGTCATTTAGCAGTTTCTGTTTTATCCAATGTGGGGAGGTGGCTGTATGTAATGAAAGCTGAAGTTGGAGCCAGTTAAGGTATAAAGATGGATACTTCAGTGCTTTTCAGTGATAGGAAATTCAGAGACAACTACTGAGTGGTAAGATTCAGACCCTTCACTTCTTTAAGCAAAGCTGGCGCAGAAGAATGTGCTGTACTGAGGTATTGCTAATACAGTCATCCTCTCTGAGGGCTTGTTCCCATTTTGCTTGGGAAAAGGGAGTGCTCTCTGTCATAGTTTTCTTCATCTTGCTCCATGAGGAGACGATTGGGCATACTTCTCTGTTTTCTTTACAGAGGGGCAAGACTTCCCTCTCTTGTGCTTTCAAAAACATAAGCTGTTCAAAACTGTCACATTTATGTGTGAATGCATTTTAAATATTGAAAGAATAGTTCTGTATGTACAACAGAGCACTGATAAGCTTACTACCCAGTGTGCCTGACTTCATCCATAACAGCATAGTGGAGCAGGACTGCATGGAAATTTTAACTGACTTGTCAAAAAAATGCTTTTTAAAAAAAAAAAAAAAAAGAAAAACAGGAAAGGAAAGATGGGGAAAATGCCTGCTTTGCACTGAGGGAGATAGGAAGTTGTTGACTCCTAAATTCTAATCCCAAGCTAAGTCATAAGTGATATTTTTTGTAACATGCTGCTGAATTAATTGAATTGACTTTACCCTTATGAAAGGCATACCTGTGGTCTTTCTGCCCTAAAAATACTGCTTTGCAAAAAGTACTGCTGATATTTGCTATACAAAAAATATTTCTACAAAGATAATAGTTTACAGTCATGATGTTTGGGTTTTCTGTTTGATGATTAGCTGAGATCACGTTTTTGCATTATGTATGTTACACCACTTGAGATAAATGTTTATACTTATGCTCTGATCTTATGAATGGTAAAAGAGGTATGTAAGTATCTCTTTCATCAACTGACTAGTTTAGATATTTTCCTTTTTCAAGAAACTGCATATCCTCACTTTAAAAGGGAGAGAGACAGGGCATGTCTCACACTGATTCACTTGATAGTGTGTATTGCAGAGAATCATTGCCTCTGGAGTGTGGAAGAGGAGGAAGTGAACTAATTGTGTTGGTCAGGTTATTCTAATTTGATTAGAGCAGAGGGGACACAGTACCATCAGCTAGTGGGGAGAAGGAGGAGTTCGATTTATACCTACAGTAGTTGATCTGCAGTCTCTCCTCAAATAAGGATAACTATTCCTGGCAAAAAAAAAGGACGCCTTCAGTGGGAGAAGTTACATAACTAAACAAATTCAGTTACATGGACAAGAGCAGTCAGCCAGTTGACTCTATGAAAAACTCTGTCTAACAATACTTCTGCCATAAAAGTGGTGCACAAGGTCTCTGCTAATCAGTATTGCTAACCAGTTCCAGCAGAGACCTTCTGAGCATACAGCACGTGCTGGAATGAGTCTCTGGTGCTAATTGTGTCTGTAGCTGTAAATGTCATACGGGGACACTAATATTTGAGGGAAAAGAGAAATACCATCGTGTGTACTGTGTTAAAGAGGTGTTAATAACAACAACAGACATCTCATTGTATCTTATCCAAACATTTTTAGCCTCGCTTCCTGAGCAGGTTGTTTAATGTGACTGTGCTGTCTGTCTTCAACCCTTCACTCTAATATTATTTGAACCTGTTGGCTCATTTTAGTCACAGCTGAGAGAAAGACGGAGGTGTCAAATACATTGAGTTCCTATGTGGTTTTGTGGTTAGGTGAAGAAGAGCTCTGCATTGTTCTTTCCAACTAAAGCAGCAGCTTTTGAATACATTGTTTTACTCCAGGGGCTCTACATAAGAGGGCAGGGGAAGAGGCAAGGGATCCAGCTGTGAAAAAAGTATCATCAGGCAGACTTCAGACCTTGTAAGATACAAGGTAATCCAATTGTAAGGAAAAAACCCAAAAACTGCCAGAAACTGAGCTGTGTCACTACTGCTAGTCAAGGGCTACTCATTCCCAATGTGACTGCTGCTCAGAGTTATTCGTGGCCTGACTATGGTTTGACTTGGCTATGCTAATTCTGTGGCTGAATCCTACCTGCCAAGTCAGCATCCCTTCTGGCTGTCAGCAAGAGCTGGCTTGTGCTCCTCCAGGCAGCCAGTGCTGGCCCATTCTGTTGTGGGGAAAATGGGAGCTGTCTGGAGCAAGCACGCAGTAATTCTGCAGTCTGGTGTTCTCTATATAAGCTTCAGGTCATGGTTTTCAGATGGCCATGGCTGTTAAATGCCCAGTATGTCAAAGCTGGTTTTCTGCCTTTGTTTCTTAAGAAGTGCTAATTATCCTTTCACTGTTCTCTGAACTCTTTGCCATAGATGCCCAGGTTATCTGTGTTAGCATATGCTTGTTCAGCAATAGGTTTTTTTATTATTTTTATTGTATTTATTCTTCTGGTTTTTAGGGAATGAGAAATGGCTCATTGGTAAAATAAATAAAATTTAAAAAGGGTCTCAGGGGACTAATTTCTTATCTTACTGCATCCTGAGTGTGTACTCTGGCATGGTGTGCAAACCCAGACTTTTACTTCCTCTCTCTTCTCCAGGCTGTCAGCGCTCTATAGGCTTGTCCAATGGGAAAGCCAAGGTGTGCAGCTACAGTGGATGGTATTACTGCAGCACCTGCCATGTGGATGACACCTTCCTCATCCCTGCACGGCTTGTTCATAACTGGGACACTTCCAAATACAAGGTAATCTCCCTGCAGGTTGGTTTGCTAGCAAGTGAACCGAATTGCTCTTCACATAGAAACACAGACATTGCAACAGATTAAAAGTTGCAGGCATTAACTGCTAATACTGTTGTCTTTGTCCCTTTTGCCAGTATGAGCCACACTCAACAAGACAGATGTTTTCATCAGAGCTGCCTTAGCTGAGACTAAGGCATTTCTCCAAAGGAGCAGCCATGCTTCTCTTTCTTGGTGGCATCTTTTCCATCACTGCTAATCTGGTTGTTCAAGAGACAGGCTCTTTTAGCCCTAATCTCTGCACTTATTGGGCCATCAAGGAGTACCTGTTTCATGAGCACAAGCGACTATAGAATGGCACTGCTCAGTGGTGGGTGCTGAATTGTGGAAATGCCTACAAGAAACTGGCATACCCAAACACAGTGTTTACATGGCCCAGTATGTCCTGTCTTGTGGCATAAACATTTCAAGGGCACTAGAAGGACATTGCTATAGCACTTGTTTGGACCAGACAGGCAAAAGCAACATAAAGAGAAAATTCTACAGGTGTTCACTTGCCGCACAAGCAGCTTTTCTGAAACTTCTGTAATCTTCTATTTGCTACTGCCTTGGTGGCTGGTTGCTAGATAGGGGCAAACTGATTGCATGCCTCAAAGCATTACACCAGCAAACACAGTAGCAGTGTTGTTTTGCCATCTCGGGGAGCATATGCTGGAACAATAACAAACTCATAAGGAATCCACACCATGCTAGAGCTTCAGACCTAGCAGCCACTGTTGGGAGAGGCTGTTTGATGTTTTATGTCTGCAAATATTATTATTATTACGGGCTATTTGAAAAGGAAAAAAATAACCAGTAAATGCCCTATTAGAGGAAAAGCAGCTCTCTTGAAGAAGAAAATTTGTCAGAAAGGGAGATTATTAAAAGGTAGCCAGAGCCTGCCATCAGGAAAATTATAGTCTTCCACCATGAAATGCAAGATTCTTCAGAGTTACAAAGCTCCTACGTGTGGGGACAAAACTCCTTCCCTTTCCTAGAAACTAGGAATAAAATATTTAAGAGTTCTTTCTTTGGATGCTTTTACAAAGGACCAAACTTGCTAGCCCACAGTTATACAGGTAGCCCTGATACAGAGCAGGTGGATGGTAAGGCAAAGACCTCCTATCGAGCTGTCAGTAATACTGTGAAGAAAATAAGCTGTTTTGTTTTCTAAACCTGCAGGGTAAGAACTATGCTTTATGCTCCATTTCTTGTGGTCTTGGTGTAGGCAGCTGAGGCACAAAAGGAAATGGGACTTTTAAGATTAAGCATTCACTGAAAACTTAATCTACTGTAATGGTGAGAAGTTATCAATTTGCACCTTTTATAGATGGGCAGAACAGCTATGAGGTGGCTTGGGAGTACAAGCAAATTCTGTGCAGATACTTTATCAGTCTCTGTGCCAAAGTGCTCAGAGAGGTGCATTTAAGAAAGGAACATCATCCCTAAGGTAGGAAAACACTACAGCATCCCCAGCCACACTAGCAGGAACTAAGGCAGGGAGGGAAGGTGAAGAGGACATCATGTGCCAGAGTGTCAGTGTGACAACTGAGCTGAGATCACTGTTTGGATCTCCCCAACTCCATGTACAGCATTAAAACAGCATGTTGTTCCACTTACTTTTGTGAAATCTTCAGGTTTTTCCCCTTTCTGTTCAATTCTGTATACATGTGGTTTCGTTTGTGTCCCTCCTATACCTCCATGGAATGAAGCAATGCTTTTCTGAGGTAGAGCACATATTGCCTGCACTTTTACATCCGCCTCTCCTCCATTCAGAGGTAAGGCCTGATGTTTGTTTCTTCTGTATGTTCTAAAAGGCCACTTAGCACTGGCTGCTGCACTTAAGAGTTACAAAGAAACTGCATGATTCCTTAGTAATGTGTTAATTAAATGTGCTGATTTGGCACAGACGGATACATGTCCCACTTCCTTGAGGTGATCTAGGTACTAATCATTTTATTTGTGCTCACTTTTAAAGGAAGATCCCTTCATTTGTCAGCATTTCACCTCATAACTGGCCAGTGTGCCCACACAAAGCTGTGCAGCAACCAACCAAGTGAAGCTAAACAAGAGAGCTTCTCCTAAGTGCACAGCCTTGCCCTTCACAGGTAGCACAGCAATGCTTGAATGTGGAGCTTTTATCGTGGGTGACTTGCTTCTGGCTGGACTCATGGCATAGGCCAGGTTGGTTCTTCAGGAAATAAGCACATAGCACCCTTGATGGACAGAACTGAAACAGGGTTTCAGTCTTCAAAAGCTTCCGTGCTTCACACAGTCTGAAAGGTGCCTCTCAGTCCCTCCAATGGAAGCGAAGTGATGAAGGGTTAGAAAACCAGCACTCCATCCCACTGCCAGCTTTTCCCTGCCTCTGCAGGGGTTTCTGGGGTCTGTCCTATCCTTCTCTGGCAAAGCAGGTGCCAATAGGTTCTCTAGGACATAAGCTTTTATAATGATACAGTAATTGGGCATGTTTCTCTTTTATGTTTCATGGACTCCCAGACATCTCAGCAGCAGCTAAACTGTTGCATCAATTAAGTAAATTCTGGAAATGGAGAGGTTATTGCTGCTTTTGGCAAGACAGATCATGAAAAAACAAAAGTGGTAGAAATCTGTAGAGTTGTGTCTTCCCATACCTGGGACTTAACACCTGAAATCCCATGGGTAAGAGAAGAACAAGCCCCTTGACTGTGATAAAAGCTCTTTGAAAGGATTTGGCAGTTAGGCATGTTTTTCCTGTCCTAACAAAAGTAGCAGTTCAGTCCCCAGGTTCACTTTTTTCCCTGTCCCCTACTGTTTTCATATTTGTCTTTTACACGTGTTTTTGTGAAGGGAAAAGAGGCGATCTTGTCAGCATCCTTTCTTCCTTTTACTCAGGCCAACTGTTTTCCTTGTTTGCACACAAAAAACAGTAGGTATTGCAGCTTGGTTAGGTGGCTTCCAGCAAAATGCTGGACAGACACAGCAGGAAGTGAACTCACTGAGCCGGAAGGCTTCAAGGGAGGCTGACTGCTGGTAAATTGAATTCTGAACTGTGGGTTTGCAGCCGCTAGAAAAGAAAGGTCTGGAAATGTCAGCATCCATCCTTGTATGACATTTAAGGCTTGTTGCATTTTCCATCTTCTCACTCCTTCTGGCTTATGTAATAGGGTTGTCTAGTCTGCCCAGTTAAATTGGGGGACTGTAAGTATGCTAGTAGATGCACTAGAATACTGGCTGGCAGCAAGCTGAGTTATTGTGACTGCCTGACCCTTCTCATTATAAGACTGCGTTTGAGCTTCTTGTAACTTTGCTATGGTTGGCCATGTGAGTTAATGTTTTACATGACCTGAGTGCCTGTGTCAGGCATGCAGAGTGAACTGACTCCTACCTATCAGACAGTGCTGCTGGGCAAAGCTACTTTTCCTGCAATCAGTACTCCGCAGGTGCATTGTATTGGCAAGGAGAAAGGTTTGCTTTGCTCCTCTTTCCTCAAAAGCTGCGTTCAGACCATGCAGCACCAGAGCCACACAGCAGGACTTTGTCATCGGAGTGTTGCAGAGTCACCCAAGTGACCTCAATTCTGGCTGTTTTTTTTTTCCTTTCTGTACTCTTTGCAGCCTCAGGAGGGTTGCCCCATACAGGGTACAGGTGTGCGCAGGTATGGGTGTAGTACTTGGACAGTAATTGCCCTCTGGTTCCTGAGGCAGCAGGGCAGGTAGATGAGGAGCCCATCACTTCAGCAGGGGTTTAAAGCAAAGAAGTGAGACTACAAAGCCATCACTGGGCACCAGGTCCTCCTAGCTGGAGGTGCTGTTCACTGTACCAAGCGTTCATGTGCCCCCTAGGGAATCACTGCCTATGTGGCTTAATTTGCCCACTGGTGGAAGAGGAATAATATTTACTATAGATACAGTGATTGTCAGGGGATTGCTGAGATATTGCAGTCAAAGAGTTTAATGATTGTAAAAGCAGGTTGTTTAACTGCAGTCTCATTTGTGAACTGCAGTTAGCATGTCTAATAAAACATCACATTGCTAGTGTTAGAAAACTTGACGTATTGGGGGTTTGTAGAGTTTTGTTCTACAAAATCCAAGTTGCCTGTGTTGCTCCTTACACAGCATGTTACCTGTGCTTCCATTCAGACAGCACAATTCCTTGTAAGCACATTATTACCAGGAAAAAAAAAGAAAAAAAGAAATCACTGGGGTGTTTAATACAAATAGGTGAGATATTTACTACCATTTTGGGGCCTGGGAAACCTATGGAGTTATGCTCTGCTGTATTTAAAATTACACACTAGATTATCTGTGTAGCTATTGGTGGGAAAGCTGGCCTCGGCATTAGTTCTTACATTTGTATTACGTGCTGTGAAAAGGTTACATTTGGGGCTAGCTTTCCCTGTAAGTAGCTAGTGACTCCTGCAGCTAGTAACTCGTGCTGGTTTTGGAAGTGATGCCATTTATAAGGATGTATATTGCTTTTCTCTGCTTCCTACCCTACAGCACCAAAATGGAAATAACATCCTAAATCTCAAGAGTCTATGGTGTGCCCTTTCTCCTTTTGTTAGCCTAATTCATCCCTCCCTTGACTCAGTGTAAACACTGATTTAAAGGTCTGGGAGGACTAATTGAATTGTGGAACAAATAGTATTTCCATAGCACAGTTTCAGGTGATTTGCAGCTCATTTCAGATAATCCCATCTTCTCTTTTCCAGCTGTGATAAAATACAGAAATAAGGAATGAGAGGGAATTTGGCCTACTCGCCTCAGAAACAGGAGTATCTTCTCTAGTGGGATCAAAAATCCCATTAATTTATGAAGATTACAGTAGCTCTTTGCAGTTGGAGATAGAACAGAGCACTATCATGAAAAATGCATAAGAAAAATTTGCAGATGAAATACTGGGAGTGAGTAATACCAGTGAAATTCAACATTATTTGTCTGTGTTGTAAAAAACCAGAACTTGATAGATATATTTCTGATTATTTTCTTTTTTATCCCTGCCAGCTAAGTATGAAACAAATGGGGGAGTAGTACTTTACACTGGAGTTCTATGCCCTGCAATAGTACAATGTGAGTGGATTTGGCACTTACCTCGTCATTTGGTTCTTGTCAAAAAGAAAACAGCAAACAAACAGGAAAATCTTAACAGGGAAGAGACTTGGTAATTCGTTTTTAGACTTAAAAAAACCATCTGGTAAGCTGTGTTACCTGGCAGTGAAAACAGGTATGGCTGCAGATATCACTGTACGCTGGGTAAGTAAGCAATTATCTCACACACTTGACTTTGATGGGCTTCGTGAAGTTTGACTTGGCTATAAACAGAGACAGTTGGATCTCTCAGCTCTGTCTTCATTTGTAATTGGTAACAGTAAGTTTTCAGATGCAGAGAATAGCTGGCAGATCACAGAGGGGAGGATCTGCTTAAAGAATTGGGAGGAAAGCCTAGCTAAACGGCTTTATTTTTCAGGTATCAAAGCAAGCCAAAGAGTTCCTGGAATATGTTTATGAGGAGCCATTGATCGATATCCAGCAGGAAAATCCCATGTTGTACAAGCACGCTGAACCTCTGGCAACTGTTGTCCGCCTGAGACAGCAGCTAAAATCTCTCCGAGCCTATTTGTTCAGCTGCAGAGCAGCAGTGGCTGAAGACCTGCGTAGAAGGTAAGAACCACAAGACAAGATACAGCACAATGATGTCGTTTCCTTGTCAGGTTGCTTTTCTTCATTTTTTTTTTTTTGCCCCTCGCAATCTAGTTCTGAAGGTGTTACCCGTTTAGAAAGCTGTAGTGCTTGTATCTGACTTCCCTGGGCAGCTGGGTTATATATTGCCAAAGAAAATGGTTTTATAGGGTCTGAATATCAAAAGTTGTTCTTGACAACTGTTAGCCCAGGGGTCACACGTTGTGGTGAGTATCTTTTACTCCTTCTCAGTCCTTCTGGTTGTGGGTGACTGTTTTCAGTCAGGGGTGATACCTCATGCTCCCTGCCATGGTATTGCAGTGCCAGATTGGGGAGCCACTGTTGGGACCTTTGAAACACCTCACAGTATGGCAAAGCATGAGAGAGCCCTGAGTCAACCACCTGTCCAGTGCTTCTGCCCTCTTTTGTGATATGATCTGACATGAAGGCAGAGGCCAGATGTAGTCCCCGGCACATGACCCAGCATGTGATTTGTGTGACACCAGAGCAGTTGTGCTCTTGCTCAGCCACTGTCTTTTCCATCCCTGACATGGCTGTGCTGAGTGTTTTGTTTACTGGAAAACACATTGTCACAGCACAGTAGAAGGTGTTTCATATTGAGTTTTCTGTGGTGGGAACACTAGTTCTATAAAACATGAACTTCATTTTTGAAGTGCTGTCTCTTAGTCCATTCAACTGCTGCTTCATTTTTTCTAACAAACTAAAAATGATCAATCTTCTGAAAACCATCAAGGCACAGTTGTGATCTTAAAAAACCAACCAACCAAACTTACTTTCATTGTGGATCTCCAAAAGAGATGGGGAGATAACTCTGCCCATGCCATACTGTGAGGTGAGTAGCACCAGGTACATGCAGCTGATCTGATGGTAAATGCATCTGTAAGCATTTGTATATCCCAAGTTTGTAAGTAAGACAAAACTGCAAATAGGAAAAGCCACTGCTTTGAAATTATGAGCTGCCAGAAGGCAAGGAAGCAGATGACACCAGTGATTGTATTTTGAGCATGGTGTTTTAGGGATGGGGAACCTGAATTCTCTGGGAGGGAGAGGAGGCTGCACTAGTGCCTTTATCCCAGGTAAGGAGTGAGGTGATCTGGTATTGGGTGCATAACCTATGTCATTGCTTTGATGAACTACCTCGAGCAACTACGAGAGGGATATAGGATGGTATTATCTTGCAGAAATGTTTTGCTGTTCAACTATAATAACTTTCCTATGCCATCCTCTTCAACTGCAATAGAAGTAAAAGGAGACTACAATTTGTGAAGACTGGCATTCAAAAAAAAAAAAGGCAGAAAAGAAATTATTCTTTCTGATTAATGCTGAAGAAAAGAATCCCCTGATTAAAATAGACAGGAGGAGGCACGAGACTGAATGGACTTGGGTAAGAGTGAAAGAAGAGAGATCAAAAGAGGCCTAAGCAGAGAGATCAATGGGTTAGAGACAAAGAGATGAGGGAAAGCCAAGAGAAGGAGGAGACTCAAAGAAGGAAGGGATCTCGGGAAATTAAGAGTTAATGAAGAAACCAGGACAAAGCGGGAGCTCCAAAACCTACCTCCCAAAAGGAGAGCTGTGTTGAGGAAATGGAGAGAAGAGAGAACGAACAAAAATTAGCACAGAAATGTCTGCATAATGTTTTCTTGGGGTGGGGAGGAGAGAGAAAAAACCTCCTTGTATCAAAATGAAACACCCAGAATGACAGAAAGAGGAACTGGGAAATAACTCCAAATGCTTCCTTTATCTAAGTGTTCTTTCACACTGTCACCAATTAAAGCTCTCTGTGGTAGAGAGGAGGACCACAATCCAAGAAGTGTTTGGTTTTGTACCAGGGAAGCATCTCCAGTTTGGTAGGACTTGTTAGAAGTGCTATAAAAGCCACTGAATGAATGTATAAAACATATCTTAGATTTCAGATCCTCCTTGGTTTGTTGGGCTGGTTTTGGTGCTTACCTAGTTCCTCAGATCTCCCTTTAGAGGTTTGCAGAGATGAAAAGGAAGAGAAGTTTTCCCAGAAGGAGCTATTCCTTGCCCAGAACAGTCCCAGTGGCTTTGCTTTCTGCATCTAGTATCCCAGTGTGCAGACAATGTGATGGCTTTATAGAGCACAGCTGAAAAGTAAACAAAGAAAATAGGTGATTTAAATTTTCCTTTGGCTCATCACGTGCACAAGTTGCAAGAAAAGGAGGAGTTTAAAAAATATGGTGAGGCAGCACTCCTAAATTTAGTACCTAGTTAGAAAAGGAAGACTGGGGGAGAGAATCCAGTTATCTGTCCAGCTCTAAAAACATTCTTTTTCTGCTTGGTCTTCACCTTAGCATGTGAATGACTATTAATCACAAGAAAGTGAACACAGCATGTTGAAGACCTGTCAGACCCATATAAACAGACTGAAACAAACTGTTAATATTGCTGTCTAGGGAGAACTAAAAACAGACTGATTAATTATATTGGCACCTTGCTGCCTTTGGGACACTGATAGAGCCTGCCTTATTAGGGAAAAGCAGATCATTCTAAGGTTTTTTCTATTAATACTATTTGCATTATCTTCTTCTTTAAATCTATACCTTGCTCTTTAGCGCAGATCACAAAATGAAGATGGCAATGAAGTTGAAAACTGTTGGTATCCTCTGGGAAGACGAAACTTTACAGTGCTTACAAGTCACTTTTTTCTGAAGAATTCCAGATGGCTATAAACTAGGTTAGCTCAGGATCCAGTTGGCTTAAATGTGGAAATGTTATTTGTAATGCTTGGTGTGCATAGATAGGTACTTTGGGAACTTTGAAACTTGGCAACTACTAGAGAACTCAGGGCTGAACCACATTGTGAACTTTGAAGAAGCAAGTGACTATGTAGAAAGAAAGGAAGGGAAAAAAGCAGAAGAAATCCTAAAAGTAGCTAGAAGGCTCACAATGAAAGTGGTGGCCTTCAGTTATAATGATTTATTCTCACCTATTGCTCCACTGGATTCTAAGCCCTTTTTACATTTGCAAGGGAAAATAAGGAACTCGAACTTGGCTGGGAGGAGAAATAAGGCCCTCCGCTAGTTGCGTATCAGCAGTGTTCCTCTGAGATTAGCCAGCTGAGACTCTGAGCCTGTTGCTGAGCTCCCTGTTTTACAAGGGATGTTGTTATGCCTAGTTTGCTGTGGCTGTCACCTCAGTATTGCAACAGACATAATTTGCCTCAAATGTCTTTACTCAACAAGTTCTTGCTTGTTTTGGTTGCCTTGCTTGTATGGATGCTGTTCAGGCAGAAACTACAAGACTGAGACCTTGTGCCAATGTAGAAATTAGTACAAGTGGAGTTGTACAGATCCCACTGCCATCACCTGCAGATTGTGGGATGATGAATGAATGGCACTGACAAACAAGATAGAGTCAATAAATTTGATAGCTAAGAAAGAGCAAAAATTAAGTCCATTAAATAATGAGGTAGGTTATTCTGTGAAGCCATGCTGAATGATGCAAGTTTTATTCTGGTTTTGCTTTCTTCCGTTTGTCTCTAGACATAAGACAGACTAATAGCATGTCCATGTGCCATAGCCTCTTTTCCTCTGTTCTTGTCATGGTTGAAGGCTCTTCAGGTCAGAATGATTTTTTTGTGAAGTCTTCAGGCAGCCCCCCATCTCCAGGGTGGGCTAACCCAGGTCAACCCTGAAGCTTCTCTGGGCACTCCACTCAAACCGTACACCTCAACTTTCAGTTCAGGTGTTGCTAGCCCAGGTATTTTAGACAGATGGCAGTGACACAAGATAAATGTTCTGCAGCACATTCCCCTGTATGTAAGTGCTCACTGCAGTCTTCTGAATGGTAGTGAGAAACTATATGAAAAAAATTCCCTCTTGTTACTCATCTCTGTCTAGTACCATTTGTCTGTCAGCTCCAGACCAGCAATACATCAGTTTCACCCTAGCAAACCTCCAGTGCTGGGTACATTACTTAGCATCTTACAGGACAACCACATTTGAGCTTGCTGTTGCAGCAGGAGGTTAAAGGTACACCTCTGGTGCTGCAGACCTATGCTCCTGACTGAGCCTGCCAGTCTGTCAGCATGATGCGAAACAAGCCCAAATTCAGTTATACTGAACAATAAAGTCCTGTCACTTCCTACAGTGAGGCCTTAGACATATCACTTCTGACACAGGAGTAGATTACTTTCAAAATATTTGTGTGGCAATTGGGGAACCTGTCTAAACACGTCACAGGAATCCTGATTGATCTTACACAATCATTATACCACCAAATACCTCACGTATGTGAAGCTGGGGCTATGTCATCTTTCAGGCTAAGGACAACAGAAGGTCATTAAGTCATGTCCCAACTGTCAAAGGAAACTGTTTTCTCCATTTTCTTTGCAATGGGTAGGCCATTTGGAGACTGGTAGATTGCAAAGCAGGAGAACAAAGGCACATCTTGTGAAAGCAGTAGACTGCAAAAAGAAAGTTTGAGCAGGAAAGGAAGAGAAAGATGTGGTTTCATAGCACTTAGGGCTCTGAGTTAATGCAAAACCAACAGAAGAAGAAAACTTATTGCATGGGTGATTGGAAAGAGGGCAAGAGAGAAACTCATTCAAAGAGAGTATCTGTGTATCCTGAGAGAATCCAATGTTAAGACCAAACAACACCCCAAAGTGAGGAAAGGTGAGAAAATACATGCAGAGATGTGTATGTGAGCCATTCGTTGTTTTATATAGATCCTGCATGTGTGTGTTCATTGCAGTAGCTGAAATAAAGCATGCCTGTTGATGGAGCTCTTACAAGCAGATCACATCTTCACTTCAGCTGTTGTGTCTTTGTGAAGCAGTAACTGTGCATGCAAGATCCTTGCAGGCTAACATCTTAAAAAGCAGTTGGCTAAAACTGTAGAGGGTAGAGTTAGGGCAGGCTTTGAGCTTTTGTTTCAACTAGGGGTACCAAACAGAGTTGGGGCAAGATGATGTGTGCCAGCGTAGAGGCAGTACT